GCGAAATCCCTTGGGACAGATTTTTTCCTTCTCAACGCAATCACCGAAGGGGGCCTTTAGTATTTCCCATGATTCGTGTCACATTAAAATGGACAGGAAGACAAACTGTTATTCTGTGATTCGTGGACTGATAGTATGATAGAGTAATGGGGACCCGATATTGTAGGAGATAAAGAACTCGACCGATCGGAAACCGTACCGGAAGTCGAACCCGAGGGACTCTTTTCCCGCACGACTACTATGATCAACTAACCTACCCGAGCCGTTTACGATTCTTCTTCTGCCAATTCTTATGGTCTAAAGGTAAACAAAGGTGAATGTCACGCTCTATTGCTGACAACATCAACTTATTAAATGAACCTCAATGAACAGAAATCGAAGTCGCGTTTAATAATACCAAATTCGACGATCGTGTCGGCAATTATTTGCAACATGTCCAAATGTCTGGTATTACGTATTCGGAAACGCAAATCTGTATAAATAGACGCATATGTCGTGAGATCGATATCGTGTCCGAAGTAGATATCAATTTAAATCGAATAGGTCAGAGTATTTTCGGTGCGAAGAAAAATTCCGCTAACTGCGACATTTGTTGCGAACGCTGTCCGACCCTAGCGAATTCACATTTCCTGTCCATCAACTGAAAACCGATAATGTCGGTGGTTAACGGATTCGGATACGGTTTCACACCAACCTCGAACCTCCAACCGAACCGAACCGAGCCAAGCCAAGCCGCCAAAAGGCAATAACGTCATTATGAGCAACGACGGGGAAATGGCCCGTAAATGTTCAGATATCATCCGTCGCTTCTCATTCTTCCCTTTTTACCATGGCCGTGCGACGCTCGTAGGAAGGCTGGAGTTGTCTCATCTGAATGGACCCTACCGTGTCGTCCCATCGCGAGATAATGATCGTCTCGCCCCCTTCACGGTCGCTGTTTGTCCCCTCGATACCCAACATTTTCTCCGCTCGATGTTCCGGTAAACTTACCGTTATCGCTAAGTACTCCTCCGAAAAAATGAATGCCATCCCGGATGAAAAAGTGGTGTACTTTTTGCCGCCATGTATCAACCGAGATACCAGGGAACCCTAAAGTCCAACCACGGTTACGTAAACTCGGCGGACACTTATCGAGGATCGAGTATTCGTGTAGGTATGCGCGATCTATGTATATAGCGTAATAAAGCATACGACGAAAAACGAGTAAACATTTGTTTCGAATCGCGGCGCAGAAAGGTGGAAAAAATATCCCCGTGAAAATATGATGCGGCCGAATGGTGCGTATCAAACTACACGCGTCACACGCAACCTGGTTACGGACCCCGTTCAAATAAATCACGGATTAATTGAGTTGCGCGTTTTACAAGTCGGAGTAATAAACATCGATTATATTTCGCAGAATCGCTAGCACACGTTAAACTGCGTGTACGGTAAGCCCGATATTAGCCAATTTATAAGTGGAATAGCCCGTGAACGTGAATTACGAACATCCAGCTATGTATGTTATCGATTTAAACAGTATTATTTATCTTCGAACGGCTATAACTGGCAATAAATCGAAGAACATTTACAAATGTGTAGAATGTATCATCTCGAATTCGTGTGCTTCGTTTCACTAGATAAACTAGAAAGAACGGAACGAAAAACCGTGAACGTACAGAAGTGTTAACCGTTAATTTGCATCACGGGGACCGTATAGCCAATTTTTACTACGATCGTATGCCCGCGTAAACATTTTTTAATGGAAGCACGGTAATGTAAATATAAAGGAGCTAAACTAATTTGTTCTCCCCTATTCCTGCTCGGCCCACGCGACGACCTCTTGAGTTCGAGCAACGATATTCCATGAATACTGAGTACCTGGGCTTCTACGTCAAGTACTAGTGCATATGCATCGGCTTAAATTCAACGAGCGTATGCATATCCCCAGCCGCGGCGTGTTCAGCTCTTTTCTTAAACGTTTCCCAACCAACCGTCTGGATAACGCGGCTAGCAAAATCTTTGTGGAAATTGATTTCAAACTTTTTCATGTCACCGGTGCCTGCCCTCCAAATCCAATGCTGCTTGATCTATATGTAGCACTACGAGATCCAACTTGATGATGATTTATCGAAGTTTATCGCTCTCTCGGCCCCTTTCTAGTAAAATCGTCATTTTCGAAACAACCGCGAAATCTTATCCAGTACTCTCTGTAGCCGCGTCACGCGAATCTAGTGACGCGGTTGCACCAGAGTCACATATATCGTACTAAACCTCGAGAAACCACTAAGATCCTCCAAATAAAGAACGAACAACTCGAGCAATTAATATCGAAGCGTTTACGAGCTCTTGAATCATGAATCTCGAAAGCGTTGAACCTTAAAGGAGGAGATTTCAAAACCGACCATTCCTTTATTTTCTTCTACCACCTACCAAGAGGAACTCAACTTCAACGAGTTTTCAACTATCGTGAACCGAGATTAAAAATCGGTTGGAACGAGTGGTCGCATTTGTCAGCAACTATTTCACTTACAAACAATTCTAGTCGACATTTCACCGAATGAAAGATGAAACTGACTCGGGGGATCATAACCATGTAGGAAGTAAGATCTAGTGAACGATGAATAAACTTTGTGGCAGCGGAAGCGATGATTAACTGGTACGAATCGAGTAGATTGCTGTATCATAGTTCACACGCGTACTATACTATACGTATATACGTGTATTGAAAGGAATCCTGTATCGTGGAATACAAAAAATATGGCGTTAACGTAGCCCAGATATTTACAATTCCGTGTCGAGACTAGTGTCAGCTTACAGGATTACCGATCACATCCGGGGCTTAAAAAATGTTCGAGCCACTGTTGCGCGAAATTGGCCCGGTGCCATCTGCAACAGCAGCCAATGCTATACTCACTCACGTGAAAGTGTTAATAAAATGTGGAATTTTAAACAGACCGATACACGAGAAGGTAAAATCGCGTGCTCGATGGATATTCGAATTTTTGAATATTCGAACCCCGACATTAATACATACAACACCACCATCTCTGGTCATCGTACGGAACAATACTCGAAACGTATCCTTTCGTTTCTTTTTTTTTTTTCCGAGAAAAGTTGACGAGTCCTTGGTCCGCGATTCCCTCTAATACTATACGGTACACTTTGAGCGAAACACAAGAAACGAAGTAATAACGACACGGTGTTGCTGTGGAAAAATTGTTCAATTAAATTCGCGAACAGAACCGTCTCTCGTTTGCTTCTGCCGAGTCCGCAGTCGCGGCTCTGATTGTTCAAAGTGTTAAGAAGTTTCGACGAAGGGGTGTGTGTCGAGGGTTGAAAAGAAGTAAGAAGAAAGCTTGAAGGAAAGGGTGACTGGATGGTGGTATTGGTGGTGATGGTGGACTCTCGAGGAAACGGCATAAAGACTGTACCTACGTCGATTTAAAGGTGCGCGCAGCTGTAAATCGATTATTCGATACACCGAGTAAACGAAATGAAAACATGTTTCGTGGACAATCTCGATCGATGGAAAAGGTCGACGCGAAAAATCGATTCTTTTAATAGACCCCCTAGGAAATTCGTCAAAAAGAAGAAACATCGAATGCATTTGCAGAGTGTACAACCGGATCGTCCGGTCCGTTTGAAAGCTCGAGGGGCGTCGACCGATATTGATTGACCGTTCAACGTGTATTTAAACGTTCAATTCCTAACGTTGTTTCGGCCGGTCGCGGTTCTCGAAATAGTAACACGCTTTCGCGAAGAAAAATCTAGAAGCCGTCGTTTGAATTTGTGTCCGACAAACGTTTCTATTTGCGTACAGATCCAGTCGCGTTCAGGGAATTACACAGCGTAATTCGAACGAACCAATTGAATCTTGAACCCGTAAAGCAAATGGTGAACCGACGTTGAAACTGTGTTAAACGCCTAGCATCGTAATATGTAGGTACTTTTATCCGTCGATCTGTACCACGATTTACATCGTGCGATAATGCGAACAAATTACATACCGATCTTAATCGCGCCTATTCGAGCGCGTCGATTAAAATTAAACGCTTCCGAGAAAACTGCGGAATAATATTTCTACAATATTTCCTACCACCTATTATTACATGCTCCCGGCAGAATACTATTATTACCTTCCTGTATCGATTAACACAGCCGCAAAAGACTGTCCCCCTTAACGTGGTATCAACGACGAGCGACCGGAGCAAACGGGCACGTACTCTTTCCATTCACATTTAACTATCATTAACGTATCGTGGCAATATTTCGCAATACACTCTCTCCGTACGTAAATACCGACCGTTTCTATTCCGCGATCAATCGAGTTATTATTTCTGAAAGCGTTGTATGTATAACGTTATGAAATGGACACCGAGAGAAAGAATAAAATTGTACCGGAGCGTCGAAGAAGCCCGCCAACGTATTGTTACTCTCGATCTCGTTAAATCGCGAATCTACCCATACATAAACTGCATTTAACGTCCGTTTCATTGAAACGGTCGTTTCGCTGCTTATGCAAGATCATTAAACGCCCAGCGACGGCAAACGAGAGATCGGTAACAATGGTGTAATCGATCCACGAATTTTTCACGAGCAGATATCAAGTACCAGGTCTAGAAAATACTGTCGATACACTTCCAGTAATTAACCGTTATCTACCTATTGTAGTTTGGTGCACACGAACGATGCGGTATCGTTGCGATTCGGTGGAGCTATATGTTCAGTGAAACAACAACGTAGGTATACATATGTAGGATAGGGGAACATGCGACGAGCCGCAAAGGAACAACGAAATCGCGACGATTCGGCTCGATTTTCGAAGCATCGCCGGCGTGCACACGAACGAATATGGAACAATTGCGGTATCACCACGGCTACGGTCGCTACGGCTACGAAATCGCAACGACACCGCGCATCGTTCGTGTGCAGTGTCCATCGAGCCTCGATTTATACATGTATGGAAATCTATTAGCCGCAACGCGATCCGGCAATAAAAGAATATGGATTTCGCTTACTTGTGCAGACTCCCTCGTCCACTTCCCGTGTATTGGGTAGAAGATTTTTGATCACGCATTGCAGACCGTCGGCGCAGCTTCCGGAAAAGCCGAACAGACCGCCGCATGGTTCTCCCTCGACACGAGCGCAGACCTTGCAGCATCTGAAACCGATCGAAAACATCATTGAACGCGGTTACGCCGAAGGAATCGTAACCCCGACAAGTCGAATTCTCCGCTTGAGAAACACTCGTGGTAGCACGCGGATTTATAAAATGTCGTCGAACTAAGCACGGTGTTCTTTGGGTTAAGATATCCTTCGCCGCCCATGGGAACGAGTTCAAACGTAATAAAGCCACCGACTAAACGAACTAACCGACGTTACCTACAACCTCTTGTTTATACTGGCCGAGAAAAGTCGCGGATGGTCCAAAGATAACGCTCTATCCTACGGAGATCAAGAAACCGGGACGGAGAGACAGGAAATAGGTACGGGTTGAAAAAAGGAGATACAGAAAAAGAACCGGTATGTACCGCTGTGCAGAAAATTTCCGACTACGACGAACAATTTTATTACCTCGCCCCGCAGTAGAATCACGGACAATCAATCCTTTTATATTGCCTTTCTTCCATCTTCGCTGCGACAGTAACTCCGACCGGTAGTCGTAGTAGTTTCTCTATTTTAATCAACTATTTACGAGTATTCGCTGGGTTCGACGCGAATCTGTATTATTAAGGAAAAAACCCGACAAAAATTTACAAACGAACAACGTTGCAGCGCTACAGTTTTACATATTTTCGATGATCGATACAAGGGTTATCCATAAGGGATACGAAGGGAAAATCGTTTAATACACAGGACCGAAGGAATTCATACCATAGCAGTCCGTGCATGGAAAAAGAACTTTATTCTGAGAGCGCATTTGAATTTTGTTAGCGACTATACGCGACTCGGCTTCTGCATACACATTGCGGAGGAGGCGCGATATGTATCCACGCTTCGATCAGTGATTCTGAATATACGTACATATATACTACATACATACGTAAGTGTCACATACTATGACGCGTTCGGTCTGACAATATTGTAGCTTGTAAAGATTTTCAACGAAAAATTTTCAATATGTAACAGTTTGACCGTTTACCTCGGTATCTCTCCTTTTATTTCCATGTATACATATCGCGCATCAAATTAAATTCATCGAATAATCATGCCCCAAAAAGTACAAACGTCTCCCTCGAATAAAACACGCGCAAAAAATCAAATATTACGAGGCAATTTGCTGAAATCGTAACTCACGACACGTCAGTCGAATAGTCACCTATAGGAACATTCGTATCGCGGGTTTGACTTTTTCGAGTCTAAGCTCACAAACGCCCCCGAAAAAAAAAGAACACACAGCCCGTGTTTTTCAAAGCTTTCAGCGCGTTTACACCGATCCGTTATACCGGTGTTCCGAAACTAAATTATTCGTTGCATTCGCACAAAGCTGCGTGAACTGTTTTCATAGCCCTACGAAACATTGTCCCGGTGTTTTTGAAAACAACGCGCGGCGTACGATATGAAAACGAATAATGGCACCGCGCGTGTCCCGCGATTCAACGCGACGAACCATCGGGTATTGGAACCGTACGTGAATCGGTGCATACGGGAAGAAAGAAATAAAACGGAAGCGTTCGTCGTCGTATCTCAGACCTCCGGTTTCCTAACAATTTGCTACCACGACGCGACGCCGCGATAGAAGCTCGGCGATGTTGTCGGTTGCCCGAAGTGCTCGAGTCCGCTTTCGAAGGGGATGATTTCACTCTCGTAAAATGTTTACCCTACGCGAAATCCACGGATGGTGGTCCCCTTCCCGAGATAACTCGTCTATCGGTGCGTCACCCTTTCTCCGTCTACTATCTCTATCTCTCTCACTCCATCTTCTTGAACCGGAATCGAACGATCGGAGGATCCTCGCTCTCTCCTCGATGGACCTTCCGTGGATCCTACGCCGCGATAAACGTGAGATACACCCCACTGGTTTTGAACAGGGCCCGCGGGAGAAAATGTTATAACGGTTTTCCATTTATTTTTTATTCATCGGTCTTCGGTACACGTCACCGATTGGTTTCAATCGCACCCAAGGGAAACCCCCCTACCTTAATTAACCCCGCTCGATTGATTTATTTATCGTTAAATTCGAGTGAAATATATTAACACGCGAACGCGAACAATAAATTTATCGACGGCACCAGTGAAGAAAAAACGGCATAAAATTTCAATGACCGACACGCTTTTGATCACCACCACCCCCCTCCCCCCTACCTTGCTCTCGGTTTGAACGTACCAACTTCACTTTATCATGCCCTATTTTCCATCCGCAACCTACGAACACTGGAATAAAATTCGCCCGGGGCGTTTTGACAAAGAGCAGTGCAACAAAGAATAGAATTTTTTTTTCTCCATCGTGAAAAAGAGAACGAGGGCCCTTATTGTGGCGCGAATTTTAATTGCTCGGGATTCCCTGAAACGATTACTGTATACCGGAAGGAGTCGGGTGTGCCGGAAAGAAAAGAAAGAATGTTACTAAGAACGACACGGAGACAACATAGATCAGCGGGGAGTCTCATAGGGGTTATTGTTTTGATCGATGCGGTTAAATTGATAGCACACATTCCGCGTATGACGACGGAGGTACGCGTATCAAAGTTAGTGAAACACTTATACGGCATTGACATCGAAGTATGTACACGTTCTTTCGTACCTAAGCACATCGTTCGAAGGCGAAACCGAGTGTACAAAAAATGTTTCCAAAGACGTGAGCTACCGGTCGGTGTGGACAGTGTGTAGGTTTGGAGAGGGTACGGGTACGTACGTATTACCGATAAGGAGACTATTTACGATTAAAAGAACATTGGGATGGGATTCCAATTATCAAGAATTCGAGGATAAGATAAGAAAATTCGTCTGCGTGTTGAGAACGATGGTAGGACGTTTTCAGCGACTTGTCATAGAAAAGAGGAGTTGGTGCAGCTTACCCGCAGGGGTCCGAGACGAGGCCTCCGGGGCAATCCTCGTCCGTAAGAACGTCACACTCGAGGGGCGAGCACACACACGAAAGAGCCCTCGCAACCGCGACCGAGAATACCACGATGCCCCCCAGCAACAGCAACGAGGCCCTCATTTTTCTCTTCCCTTTCGATATACTGCCCCCCACACCCCTCCTCTTTCCTTTCTTCTCGATCTTCTATCTCGTCCGTTTTTCCAGTCGCGAGAAACGTGCAGAAACGTCCCCCAGAACGTTCAGTTCATCGTGAAACGACACGTAGCACTGTGCATCTCAGCACCGATTCACCACCTGCACACTTCGACATGTGCTCTACCGCTCGTCAGCTCACGATCCAATTGCACTACGAGGGGACGAGATCTACGTCGGTCGAGTTTCTATCGAGTCCGAAGAGTGTACTTATATACTTAGAGATTTTCCTCTAGTTCTTCCGGTTCCGCGTTAAAGACGTTACACTGAAAACAAAATAAATACGAGCGTATCCGGGATATGATGCTTTTATGCTGGCTTCGTAACAGGGAAATATTTCGTGACCGAATGAGAGCATCGAAAATATTTGCACAATGCACATCCTCTAGATATTATACTGAGAATTTCGTGTGCGAACTAAATATAAGGCGAACGGGAATTCAGCCGCCGAAACGGGAAAATAAAGGAACAGCGAGAGACCCGCGTCCGTGTCGTGGCTCTCGGTTATTTATTTCTCAACTGATCGGGTGACGCTCGATTACCCGTGGTTTTTACCTTCGATATCGATTGCACAAACGACCGCTCCGTGATCGACGCGCAAAGATTCGTCGGGAGATCGATAAATCCGTCGCGCGACGGGATGGAATTATAACGTGCCGTAGATACGGGGCAGAAAGTTGGCGAGGTTTCGTTGCAATCGCGGTTAAATTACAAGGTAGGCCGCGGACGCGAGTGCGGAGAACAACCGCAGTGCCGCATACTCGGCGCAACATCCTCGAATTTCAAGGAACCGTGCTTAATGCGAGAATATTCTTTGGGTACACCGTCACAAGATACCTATATTTCCCGTCGGCTGCGACAACGGCAACGGAAATCGCGACGTATGTAAATACTATACATACATATATGCATTACGAAAGCACACAACGCATCCTGGATACTCGATGAAATGCTTTCAACGGATAGTCCGAATCATACTTTCGCTGACCAAACATTCAAATACTGTACTTTGCTCGAGTTTCTCGCGATCGCTTTCGGCTCCAATGGAAGGACAACGTGCTTTCCGCGACGTTTATTTTATCGTTGCTTCGACCACGAAGATCGTATCGAACGATCGTTGAATCTCACGCGTTTACATCACTCACTGTTCGTTTAGTGTTGTTCGATGGAAAGCATATTATAACGAAAGGTTCCTCGTTAATTTTCTCGTTCGGTTACAATTCGGACTCGATAGATTGTTTCGAAAAGAAAATTCCTCCGTGAGAGGACAAGCATATTTACGAGAACCGTTTCAGCGCAGGGTCGCATAGTAATCCCGATTGGAATGGTAGCTTTCGATAGTTTCTATACTTTCTGTCACGCTCGTAGTAGCATCGTGTACGGTGGCCGACGCTACCAAATGCTTTCCGACGACAACGAGAACGCGATACGCTCGATGTCCAAGACGAACGTGCACTGGTGGACGATTAGCGACTACGACACACCGTCAACCGCCGCGACGGCCCGCGTCGGCGCCCTGACGCACCCCTATCTCCCAACCACCCTGCCGGCTAACCTTCTTTCCCCATGGATTGCTTTTTAACCACTATCATTCAATGGCTCGAATCTCGCAATTTCTTTACTTTGATTATTTTTAATTAGTAGCTACCTATACTGAATATATTTCCTTACAAACCAGACAAGTCAGTAAAGCCATAATACACATCTTCTAATACATACATGTTCTTGTAAAGTATCGCGATCTTAGCATTTAGTCTAAACCCCATACTACCATACTTTCAATATTAATCGTACTTACCTTGGAAATCCGCTGTTCGACGAACGTAAAATACACTCCCATCTTCTTGAGTTACCAGTTTCCCATGATCGAAATCAACGAAATTACCGGGCCATCCATAGATTGGTAAAGACTTCGTGAGAGAAGAGAATGTATGTACGTATGTGTACATATAGAATGATTAACTTCGCCGATGCTTCGTGGGTGATCCAATTAGTTGCCACTGAGTTTATAGCTACTTATAGACACAGTAAGATTCGTTTCAATTTCATTTACGTATTTTCTCGCAATCAATAGATCAGAATCGTGAAGAGCATCTCCCGCGCGAAAATCTTTAGGCGGGAAACTTCTGACAGTATTACCAACTTAATTAACCACGAGACAACCTACACAAACCCCTTCGTGACCGAAAATGACACCTCGAAATCCGCAAATCGAAACGAGTACTCTTTCTTATTCCGTTATATTCAATGGCACACTTATATATTATTTCGAAAGCATCGAAAAATCACACAAATTGGGATTACAATTTTCTTCAATTATATCGAACTGTTTATTGCATTTCCCAGAATCACTGTTCTACGTAAATAATTGTCCTGTTCTTTTTATTTCACGAAAACATAATACATAGTGCATCCAAAAATATTATGGAGCCATCTACGGCGAAACGCCTAAACTAATATCCGATTACTATAGACTACTTATGGTATACGAGGTAAATAACATCACTATTCCTTTAGGCCTTAGGCAACCATTCCATTAAAAAAAACTAAGCATTAATTAAAAAAGGCAACTAGTGGAAATCATTGTATAATTGTATTATTTCAAAAAACCTTGATTAACAATTTCACACAAACACTGAATAGCTTTAATTTCTTTACCCCATTACTACAAATTCAAAAAAGGACCTGTTGCTGTCTTATTTGTTGTTAAAATTTTTTGTTAAACCTGCGCCATCTACGGCGAAGCGGCTAAGCTACTAGCCAATTAACATAGTAGTCTTGTCGCAAGATGGCATTTAACACCATATTCGAAATCCGTATGTGCAGGTTATTGCGGTAAAGTGGACGACTTATGTATTGTGATTATTCTGTGGTGAATTTTGCGACCGTTCTGAATTGTTCTGATTTTGAAAGATGCATGCGTGCTGCTGTACCAATGCTTTCTACTATACTTGAGGTTATGTATCGTTGTAAACAATAAACTTCGACGATAAATAATAAAATATATATGCAACGTAGAAATGCTGTATATATTAGAATTTAAGATATTTGAATTGTCTCCTGGGAGATTTTAATATATTTCTTATGAATTATATAATTTAATACGTTTGAAAATGGACAGACAAACTGTAGAAAATTTGCCGTAAGTAAATACTTTGTTGTTCTCATATCGTTGTAAAAAATGAAAGTTTTTATACCAATGTTTACATTTATCCTCCATTTATGCTGGCTGTCATTGTACCAAAATTATTTTTAATAGTTATTGTAAAGAGTTGTGGTTCTTAATATCCGATACGGTATGCCGATGCGAGAAACAACTCGTTGAGGATGAAATTAAAAAGGAGACAAAACTGCTCAAAGAGGGTCTCTTATTCTTCAAGCCTTACACAGAAAGCTCTCTAGAGAATATACCAAAAAATGATCCTTCTCCTCGAATGTACGAATTAATTAGCAAACTTGCTCCTCTCTTGGTATGTATTATTAAGAAAATTCCACCCTATTGAAGTAGTGATGAAACTTTTTTTATTGATTTGGTTTTTTTCTTTTCTTTTTAGAATTTAGATGCTACTCTTACATGGGATCTAGTTTGTAATTTCATAAAGTATGAATATCGCAATTGCACAGAAACCTTTGCATCTCAGCTCATAGATTTCACCTCAATGAAAGCATTGATAGATGATATTTGGGATTTTTATTATTCAGAAAGAATGACATTGATAAAGTGCCTTAAACTTATGGTAGAATACAAAGACAAGGAACATCGTTATCAGAAGGAATTTACAAAATTTTTTGATGACATTTTATTTGGAACGCTTCTTGAATCTATCAGAAAGCAGATAGAAATGTTGAAGACTATGAATCCACCTGTTAAATCGCAGCTGTGTACAGAGGAGTATTTGCACAGGCTGTACAACAGTAGTCTCGTCGAAATGCGGGAGTTACTTCATATATTGACAGTCATTATTCATGATATACATATCGCCGATACTGAATTTATGAAATTATATGAAAGTACCGGGGTAAGCAGAATTTAAAACACAGGTTTAGTAGTTGCAGATAGTACTTTCGTCGTTCAGTTACGTTTAATATTTCTATAGGGAGAACCGAGACGCTTGGCGAGTACGAAAAGTCACGAGGACAAAAAAGCAATTGCCAGGAAAATCAAAGATATTCATCGTAGCCAAGCGGCTTTATTTTTAGTAGCATTAGATGTAAGAAAACAGTAAGTTATCTTCTGGTATTATGCTAGCATTTCGTTGTTCGCCATGGTATTAAAAATACTAGTAACTATTGTTCCGCAGCACCGACATGGAAGATTGGGTGCAGAGCGTAAGAAAAAGTATACAAGAAACCTTCGAACAAAAATGTATTCGCGATAATTCTCCGCAGGATAGTCCCCTTTTTCTATCATGGATGTTAGCGAACTACGCTATCGAACCTGACAATGTCGATACGATGAATCGATTTCGGCCATTTGGTATTAAAGCCATACAGCTTAACGTTTTTCATTACCTGCAAGACTTGATGAACAGCGAAATGATTTGCGAGAAAACTCATTACGCGGAGGTTGTGCATAGCAGCGTGTACAATCTTCTTACCTTGGTGTGCGCTTTTGTCGGCGAGGATAAACTCAGCGTTCTGAACGGCATTTTCGATGCTGTGGCCGCTACGATACAGTTTCCCGAAACTGCAGCCCGATTTTGGCAAGATCGCGACGAGGGATTGTTGTTGATCTACAAATTTGCTGTCGAACAATTTCCGTACGAGTTCGAGCCTCTGACGAATATCGCGATCGGACTGGCAAGCGCCTCCGAATCGAGTGCCGAAAAAATTGCCGTAGAGTTGGAAAATTTACAGTCGTTAACGCTGGAGGTGCCGCGTCAACGAGATCACAACAAACCGTTGAAACCTTACGAACAGGAATGTGTCATTCACAAAAACTCATACACAATATCGGAAGATTCTGTCCGCGAGAATATACGCATACTGTCAAGTGATCGGGAAGTGGTAATATTTCGGGAAAAAGCGAGCTACTGGGACGCTTTGCATCACAAGATAGAACAACTGTTTTCACAGGCTGGTGGCAGAATTACAAGCGACACTGAAATGAATAAAAATCTGCCCGAGAACGTTTCACAGGGCTTAAAGCTGCTGAAAACACTGGCTAAATGTATAGGAATACGGCAGACTATGGTTATTCCGACGGAATTAAGTTTCGAAATTATCAATAGATTTTCTTACCCAGTATTACCCGAAGACAAAATGTACATATACAAGATAGTTGCAGCGTGTATCAGTATCTCCTCCGAACTAGTTCTCGAGTACCCCGAAGAAATTCTTGCCCGAATGCGTGCGGGCGTTTATCCGAGATTCAATAACCGTTACCAAAAGACACTGGACTTCGCGGAAGCGGTTTCTTTCGATGGCGGTATAATTGCATCCTGGCTGTCCGCCATAGAAACGATCTCTCATTCGTATCCGATTTTGAATGCGTATCTGGATATCTTATCGAAATATTTAATCAGAAAATACAACGAAGAAGCTTTGTACACGGTCGAAATACCTGGAATGGTGTTTTTACTCCAAGGAGTTTTACCGAAATTGGATTCCTGGTATTTCGATTCGGACGCTGAAAGGACCGACCTATGGCTGAAAAGTATGTTTTGCCTTCACAGAGCGCTCGAAACTAGTCTGCCGAAAGAAGATATCCGAAATGAATTGCAGCTTGTCGTCGCCTATAGTCTACTGTATTTGGAACCAAGACACGCGTTGCTGAAATTGATCCGCACCGGTGAGCGTACTCTGCACAATAAAATGATGGCAGAAACAGATTGGATTCGGGGAAACGGATTCAAGGCGATCAAAAGCGTACAGCTGGCCCTGTCGGTGGTAAATAGATTATTGATATTCCGAAAATCGTTGGGTCTAGAGACTGGAGACAGATCACCGCTGGAAGCCGCCCTGTATTCGTCGCCTCGCGTGCCTAATGGTCTTCTGATAGTACCTACGATCGTTAGTTACCTTTACGTATGGTTCAGCCCGCCGTTGCAAGCGATGGCTGTTAGGCTGTTGAAAAAGTTTGCTGAAGGATCGTCGATGTCTCTGCTCGTCTGCATGGGAATGGACGGTACAGCTATACGGGAAACTTTCGCGTCTCGTAGAGGACTCATGTCACCGACTTGTGTTGCGGACGTTAAAGTGGCCATTCTTGAATTGGTCGCGATTTGTCTGGAAAAGCAACCTGGATTAACGGAAGCTCTCTTTAATATCGTACATCCGGCAGAGTGCAACCGAATTTTCCCCCGTTCGGTCGAGGAATTCTTCACGGAAGGATGTCGACAATTTTTAGACAAATATTTGAATCGGATCTACGAGAAGGAGGACATCGTGCGCGACAAATTGTACAATAGCACGATGGCACTGCTGCGAGCGATGTGGTATCATAGAAACGAGATTCTCGTGAATTTCTTTCGAAAACGAGAAAAGTTCTGGACTCACTTGTTTGCCCCACTTTTCCGCGATCTAGTACCGGGGGCGAAAGGCTACTCTCATCTGTTGGATATTATCACGTTGGAGTTGTTCAAGAACTCTTTGCTCGAAGACGATTTTTCCATGAATCTGAGAAAACTTATGGACAAGTCGAAAAATTACTGGAAGAAGTTAGCAATCTATATACTAGAAGATGTACAGTCGGTCGACGAAATATCGAAGAGTTACGAAAAACAGGACAGCAGTATCGTTGGTTCGTTATACGAGACCAATTTGGAGTCTTGGTACAATTTCATCGTCACGTTAACAGATGAAAGGATCGCGAGTAATTATCCTGTGAACGTGATTCAAGCGCAGTTAATAACGCAACGCTCTTTAGAATCGCTTGTGGAACGAGTGAAACAATCACACGACCTAAGCGGTCGAAAAGTTACGATGTTATTAGCTTCGTTGTCTCTTCGATGCATCACCTCTTGGAAACAGATGTGCGTGGACGACTCGAGAATTTTCAAATCGGGATTGACGCAGTTGATGCAAGAGATCGGACAAGCCTATCGCAGCTACGGGAAGTCGCTGCGTCAGACACTAATGTCTTTGCTCCTCGGATGTGTACAGTGCGTGAAAAGCACGTTGCGCGAGGATGCGACGAGTCTCGAGTATCTTTTAGCGCATTCGTGCACAATCGCCGCGAGCGAGTTAGAAGAATTAAAGGAAGCTGCGATACAGTTTGAGAAACGGAAGCAGCAGCAGCCGATCGTGCGAACAGTCGACGACAAGGGAACGATCGGTAGCGTGAACGCGCAGAAAAACGCTGACGAGAGAAACGCGGAGACCCTTCGTGGAATACGGGAGAGCTTACCGGCTACGTTGGCCGTTTGTATGGTCACGCAATTGTTGCGCTCCTACGTGGAACGAAGCACGCTTTCGAAACATCAAAGGAAATCCGGTTGCGTGCAACTTCGGCAAATGATACCTGAACTGATGGCGTGTATCGGTATCACTATGCAGAAATATCCGTATATAAGATTCAGCACGGCTGCTCTTAACCTGCTCAATTTAATGATTCGCTCGCCGTACACGTTGCATCCGATCAACGATAACGACATCGTCAAGTTGTGGTTGAGTTTGATTCCACCCGCGGAAATAGACAACAGCATGTTGAACTCGTTGTACGATGACCGCTCGAACGGAAAATGGCGATGTCAGGATTGGTGGCCACTTTACACCCTTGGCCTCGAATTCCTAACAGGACTTGTCACGAGAGAAACGCCCACCGTTTACATTAAATCTATCGTAATGTTCCTAAACTCGCACGAGTATCAGCTGATGGTTACGTCGACGTTGTTGAGACACACCGCCGATCTTTTGGCTGCCGACTTGGTGCAATCACTCGTTGCGCTCATTCACACTATGGCGACGCAACCGTACGTTTGGAACTCCATACAGCCGAACGTTTGCGAGACATTAATAAAGTGTATGTATTTGGCGTACGACAACACGGTGAACTTACTGTTGCGACCGCGGATTCTCAAATTCATCACCGATGGTATAAGCGTGGAAAGCGCCGAAGAGTTGGAATCGTGCGACAAACGATTGCCTAGCGCCGAGTTAAAACATTTGGTGAACAAATTGATAGTTATAAACACGACTTGCGCGCTCAGCTTCGTTCGCTTCTCACCGAGGCTGAACACTCTCGTGGATACTATATATACGCAAGACTTTTGGTACACTCCGATGGCCGAAATGAATTTCGGCCCTCCTCAGATGAGCATGAGCTCGGGTCCTCGTTTAACTTACGGAACGATAATAAGCTCGACCCAACTGTTTACGCAAGCCCTTCATTCGCGATCACAATCCGTAAGTTCTTCGTCCGTCTCTTTCGGCAGCCAGTCCGATAAAATGGACTCCGCCAAGAGGGAATGGGAGCACGCGACGCCTGAGGACCGTCGAATGCATTCCAGCAAAGATCTGAGAAGAATCATCCACGCTGCTTCTGGTTCGGCCTCGAGATCATCGTCCAACGTGGGCGGGGACTTTTTAGGATACGTGAGCGGTCTCGATGTAACTGTGCCCCTGTTGAGCAGTCCACGACTCGTCAGAAGACCTTACGATCCTCTCATCTGCGAGAACACCATTCTCTCGAGGGCAACCGCTTTAACAACCGGAAGACACGTAACGAAAGGAGGAGGCGGTACACCCGCCGGAGGCAACGGCAGCCCCGTTGTCGCTAAGTATCACAAGTTCAGCGATCCGTGGTTCGAATCTATGGACGAGAATAATACGCGACTAGCACTCGAAGTTAATCTCGTTTTAATATTGTGTCAAGCTTTGGAGGGTGTCCGAAGTCCACGAATCGCCCTTCGAGATCGCCAGCTGATAGCACGCGAAACGGTCACGGAATTGGGGGTATTCTTTGATTTCCTTGAACATCGAGGCACACCGGACAACTGGAAGGTCGAAGGATCATTGATTAACGCTGACGCCAGAAGCGTAAGAGCGATCGATCAGGCAATCGATCCGAGTCAAGCTATTCTACCCGCGAGATTAATGGAGACAGAGGGTCGTAATCTTGAGGAGAACGTTTTTACTACCGGAAGATTCACGACCAATGTCAGTAGTGTGCAGTTTTTGCCCTTGATGGGAAAGTTGCTAAAATCAGTCGTGGAGTCTTTAGATTTAACGCAATACCGATAGCGATAAACTATATTCATTGAGAATCGACAGAGAAGAAAATACGAAGAAAGGAAAAAGACGAACCAGGTCGGTAGTGTATAAAAGAAATAATAATTTCGGCATTTCGTGTATGTGAAGCTCATAATAAAGTAACAATTTTTATTATAATCTTCCCTTTTTGATATCGTATAAAGGATAAAGAAACTAGAGTAAAAAAATAAATCGAGGATAAGCAAATGCGAAATTTCCGATTTGCTTGGGAGTTAGAAAGTCTATCGGTCGGTATATTGTAATTGTTCTAGTTTAACGTGACATTGCGCTCTGTTTATCCTCGACGAAAATAAAAAACAAGCAGGTTTTTAGCGAATTTCATTTAATTTAACCCGTGCAAACGATTACCGAGATCTTCTCTCGTCGAGTTTACGTAATCGCGTAATGGGACTGGATTTCTGTACAATACCACAAGGGAACCGCGTGATGTACGGTTACACACAGATTTTTATGGAACTTTGTGAAAAGGTAGTGAACAACTAGATTCTAAACCCTATAGCACCGTAGGCGCGGGCACTCGATAGTTTACGAAATATTCAACAATAATGATCGCATTTCGGTAGATAGTTTTAATAACCAAAAAAGTTGACTATTTAAAAAGATAAACTACTAGCAGGCGAAATGCGATGTTTATTGTAAAATATGTCCTACACGTATAAACTACTGAATGTTTACACTTACGGCTCTACAGGGCTTACAATATACACATGTAACTGTCCACTGCCTTTTTGTAAAATTTCAGCAAAAATCGGCGCGTAACACATCGCATGATCCCCTTGTGAGTACCAGTGATCAGACACGTGCTAGAACAACATTACGATTAATCTTTTTATAAGGTTGCGCCCGGCGCTACAATTCTGTGATCGTAATTTATCGTTTGTTGCTTTGATAACACTTAAATATTTATAGATCTGAAAACGTGAATCGATTTGAATTATTCAAACCGATGTTCATTCATAAACTTCATCTACGGATAACGATAGAGTAGTTATCGAGAATTAGAAAGCAGAAAATGGAAAAACCTATAGTAATTCGCGTTCACGTGTCATTTACCATTTAACTGCTCCTTTTCTGTTCATTTCAATTAACATACATAGTTCTAATACCTTTCTTTTCGTTTCGCGAGAGAACAATTTCTTTCGCTATCGCAATCGACAGTCACACTACGATACAGTATAAAAATATAATTCGTGATAGTAACGAATATTACATGTTATGACAACAGCGATGTTGCGAGCAGCGACTTGAATGCGTCGCGCAAACAAATTCGACGCTAAGGAGGTAAATGAGGTAAAATGTTCTCTGGTGAGGGTGTGTCGTGCGAATCGTTACTTCTCGACGTAACTCGCGCGTGGTAAAAATTATTGGAGGTGACAGAAGTGACGATTGAACTTGTCGTGACTGTACTCGTAACTCCAGCAGTCGTAACCATTGGAACGGCGCTGGCTGTTGTCGTGTTGATAGTGATCGTCGTTACGATGGAAGAGGTAGAGTGACTTCGAGACGTCAACGAGGACCAGGCATGCGGACTAGCGCAGCTAGTGTCGGACGGTGAACAATCCGAGTGACGAGTTGGCGGGGTACAGCATACAGGAGTTGGCAACGTAGTTGCAATTGAACCTGACGGTGGTACGGTGACACTTCCCGCTGATGACGGAGGTGGGGGAGGTGGGGGTGGAGGTGGTGGTGGTAGTGGTGGTGCTGATGGTGGTGGTGGCGGTGGTGGTGGAGGCGCAGGCGTTGGTCCATTCAGATCCGCTAAGGGATCAACCGCTGCACTGTTGTCCCATAGTTCAGCAGATTTTGATTCGTCGTTACTCACGGCGTTAACAGTTGATCTCTGTCGCTTCGCATCACCGTACAGTAAGCAATGAACATTCGGTGAACTGCTACGATCTCGTACACCCTCTTGTTCCTCCAGAAATCGGTCCATATAGTCCCTGCTTACAGTTCAATGATCTTGTCATACTTCCAGTTTTCACAAAGGAAATAAATGTTTACTTGTTATAAACGATAGAACGTGGCAACCATCTCTGCCTACGTTAATATGAATTAGGAGAAGAAGAATACCCCACTGCCCGGATAATTTAGTCGGTCAAAGCAGTTGCCCGGAAAGCAAAAGGACCGACTTCGACTCCCGGTCCGATACCCGATCAGCCGAACTCTTTTTCTCCTACATTTTACATCTAAAGACAGAGAAAATACTCACGTGATGCCAGGATGCAAAGCATATTTTTTCTTTTCTAATCGAGCCTTGTACGTAAATATATCATGGCGTTCCGTCTTCTTCCACAGGTAATAAAATTGCACTAATTCCCCGACAGACCGCGTTCTCACCTGTAACGATAGCAAGACAAATTATAGCGACTGTACCTAAAGCTGTTTTTAACTTTTTCAGGTAATTTGAGACATTATATAACGTGTACCTTATTCTTCTGTATAAGATGAAAATCCTTTCCATAACTCCGTAATCCAGATTCAAAATTATGGCATTCTTCTTCCGACCAAAGGCTAACAGCATCTGTTGGTGGTACGACGTTCATTCTACGTCTTCTTAATGCTTCTTCAAGATTATAACCACATTGTAACAGGAGATATAATGCTTGTTCGTCATCTCTGATGTGAGATCCTGTTGGCAGAGAACCACCTTTTACTGCCGGTAACTGGGCCCGTTCCAAAAATTCCTCGGTTTCTTCTTCAGGTATATGACTGGGATCCCATAACATTTTATCTTCATTTTCGTACGGTAGAGCATCGTCATAACGACACAAACCTTCTGGTATAGCTGCTTGGTAATCGCTACCGACCATGATTGTCTTCTTCCATTCTTCTTCGTCGGGACTGTAATCGCAATCGTCCTCTTCTTCTTCGCTCTGTGGTCGTGAAACGCTTCGTAATAGTCTTGAAGTACCACTACCTATACCGCTGCTGACTATTCCGTCTTCTCCACCGTCTACTGTGCTCTCTCCGCCGGCACCTTCTATTCCAGTAACAACGTTATCGTCCGCTGTGCCGCCACTAAGTCCGCTTATACCGCTACATTTAGCGGTACCACTACCACCCATCGCAGCAGACGTCCTTACGTTCTCAGTGTTACTACAATTATCGATCATCGAACATTCTTCGGTTTCGCCTTCTTCATCGTCATCGTCGTCGTCATGAATTCTGTGTCGTCTACTATTGTCTCCAGTACCTACGCTACTGGCATTATTTCCTTTCATCGCTGGTCCTGACACCAACGACGTTGAATCCTTCCCTTTTACCAACATTTCGGTATAAAACTGTTTGAGATCCGGCTCGTTACTAGTCGCGTCCGCTTCATCGTCGTCATCGTCGTCATCCGCGTCATTCTCACCCTTATCCGAATATTGCCCCTCAGCTTCTGGATCCCCGCTTCCAGATGGGATTAACATTCGATCAGAACTGTTTGAATTTTCTGTTGACGGATCCCCGTATCCATACATTGCAAGCAGATCTTTTAGTGGCATATCACCTTCCTGAAAGAAGACAAGAAAAAAAATGATTATCATGCCAGATATAACAAATAGACTAGACATACGAATCTCACTACGAGAACGCACTTTGAGTCCAAAGTATTGTAGAAACTTATCATAATTGTAATTATTTATGGGCTTGATTTTTTCATTTCACAGGCTTGATCCTAGAATAGTTGGGATCAGAATCTTGTTACAAAGTGAACATCGTACATATTAAATATGTAGCTCAAACACTGCAGAGTTATACCTTTTGCAAGTTGGACAACTCGTTGTGAGAATCTTCACTACCTTCTAAAGCTTCTTCTTCGTCTAAAGTCCGTTCATCGTCAAAATCATTTACCATCATTTCTGTAGCTGGGCCCATATCATAATCTCGATCAGCCCTATAAGACATTGAGTATTAAGAATGTACTTTTATTTTTGTACAATTTTCCACTAGAAGACTAATAGCGATTTATATGTATATACCCACATGTTTATATGTATTGCAGTACCCAAAACAGCAACATAGCATGCAGATACTAGAGTTGCATACCTAGTACACACAGAGCAATGCGTACCATTAGAATGTCGAAGGAGGCTGTCCTTAAACTACCTGTATTGCACATTTTATTTGTTTTAGTTGATTTAATCGACCATTTGTATCATGTAATCGGCGTAATATACCGAGAGGATGTAATATGTGATTTATGACGCGCATCTAACCTTGAATTTTTATGACATTAGTGTTGAGTTTACAGTCGCAACAACAACTCATATTTCAATAAATAATACGATAGAAACTACGTTTCTCTTAAAGTCTTGCGTTACTGCCACTGCATACCGTATTAGGTTCTACTTTTCACCTCACTAAAAACTTTTGATTGCAATATCGTACATCTTCACAAAGAAGGGTCAATTTTTCAGCGTAAGGGCTTCATGATAACATTTTTCTGATCCAACATGTTTCCAAGGCACAGTTTTAATCGCCGAGAAAGCGGTTTCAACGACGATAACGCAAAATTATTATTAATTTTCAAGAAATAAATTCAAGCACACACAATCCATTATTTATACTCATCGACATATCATTATGCTTCTATAGTACTCTAAAAAGCGGGAAATTCATGGAATTTGTTGCAACCACCAATCGCAAGTATACCACCGATTAAAATAGTTGTCCATTCCACTCCGATATCCCGAAACTCTCGAATCAAAATAAGAAGAGGTCCGTCTTACAGTGTGATGTTCAATGGAATATAAAGAACATAGACATATATATAATAGACTGCGTGGACTTATAGTAGGGATGAAGTCGAGACCGAAATATAGAAGTAGCCCTGGAGTAGCTCCTCTCTTGCTCGCACATCGATGAGGGCAAGGGATTACTACGCACATGTATAATGCCTCAACTACGCCGTAGGAGAATCCCCCAGTCCCATTAGAAAGAGAGGAAAGTCACTCCAGTTAGGGTTGAATCGATACCACCAAGGTATCGATACTTTTACTCATAACTACTGTTGTATGAAGGTATCGATACTTACTCGGTATCGAAACAAAAGTATCGAGTAATGTACTCGTATTTACTTGTATCGATTTGTTCCTAACTCCAGTTATTGTCCTCTCTTTCTAGTGCCGACTTCATCCCTACCATAAGACTGCGCAATCTATTATATGTATGAATACCGGACTATGTGTAATATTACCGACTAGTGTGACATTGCCATGGATTTGTACCAGTAAACGCCACACGGTGTGCAGGGCGCGCATGGTCTGACTACGCGAGACAAGATCCCTTACCGCTACAAAACTTCTAAGATTTAGTTTATGGGTAGCTACCAGAAGCTACTTGTCCCTGGCGACACGGGCGACACGGTGTCTGGAGTGTGGAGATTTCCAGTTGTTCGGAACAGTTCGGGGCGAGTTGGTGCGAGGTAGTTAGGTGTACCTGGTTTATGTTTTTATCTTGCGTCTTTTATGACTTTAATTGTTAATAGTTTCATTACATTCGAACGTAAATACTTATATTAGCCAAGATGTTTTGGGGTAAGTAGCAAAATTATTCTAAACAAAATTTTACATTATTACTTGTCCACAATTTGCCGGCAAAGAACTGTTTCAAGATGGCGTAGCCATGTGGTCGTGAGAGGCCATCGTTCCTTTTAAAAATATAGAACCGTAGAAATGTTATCGTATAAACAATATTAATTTTATAATCTTCTTTCAGGTTTAATAATGGAACCAAACAAACGGTACACGCAAACCGTTGAAAAATCATTCCACGTGTCGATGGCGACTTTAGATCTCACAACAGCCGGTAAAACCGAATTTTACGTTACTTTTAAAACCATTCGACATTTACTTTTAAAAACATTTCGACTTAATATTTTCTAAGTTTTGCTTTCTTTGTCTATGATTGAGTATTAATATCTATTAGAATATATTGAACTTAATAATTTCCATATTCAAAAGTGTTCCTTTATAATAAAAATTTAATAAAATTCGAGGTGAAACTGTAGAAAAGCTACCTACCCTCCGATTTCGATAATTTTTGGATATGTTGTAAAACTCGACATTTTAGATAACTTTTTCCTATACATACAATGGAGAAGTTACTTAGTTTCCGATATATTTGCGAAAAACTGCCAGTACTAGCACATTGAATTCTGCCTATAGTTGTGTTTATTTGACTGCAATAGAGTAAAGATTCATACTTAGCAGAGTTATTAATATGAATGGATGTTTAGTTTCATAGCAAATCGATTTGTATAATGCTTCAGAGTTGGTTAGAGTCAGTTATTTCTTTTCTAGAACTGTGTCTAATCAACTCTGAAGCAATATACTAATCAATTTGTAATTCTAAGAAACTAAATGTCCATTCACATGAACAACTTTGCTAAGAATGAAATGTTACTCTATTGCAGTCAAATAAACAAAAGCTAAGCAGCTGGTGGCTGGTAGCTAGCAACCAACAGTGATGCATACATAGCCACAGACACACAACCAATGGCAGAATTCAATGTCTATTTAGTACCAGCAATTTTTCGCGAAAATGTTTTAAACTAAGCAACTCCCCCTGTTATATGTATAGGAAAAAGTTGTTCAGAATGTCCAGTTTTACAACAGTCCAAAAATCATCCAAATCGGAGCTTTTCTACAGTTTTACCTTAATTTATATATTATGTGCAACATTTCATTAATTTCAGATGATAATGTGGTGCAAGTAATGCTATGGTATGACAATAGGAACTACCTACTTTGCAGTTTAAAAAGAAGCACAACATGGCAGGTACCACTTGACTTGAATTTCCAAGAGGGAACTAAAATAGCATTTACTTGTAATGGTCATGGTCGTGTACATCTGACTGGTTATGTGACACCTGACGAAGAACTGGATTTAGATGAATTGGAGGAAGAGGAAGATGAAGCACCTGCCCTGGTAGATAAACAGTCAAAGAGAAAAGCTTTGGATTCATTGCAAAATGAGAAGATTGCCAAACGTTCTAAACAAAAAGTTGAAGCAGAATCTTCAGAAGATGAAGAAATAGATCTGGATGACAGTGGATCTGATGAGTCAGATGAAGATGGAGATGAATTAATGTTAAGTGAGGAAGAAGAAGAAGGAGGTAGCATTGAGGCTGAAGATGATGATGAAAGAGAGGAGGAAGAAGAAGTAGAAAAAAAGGTAAAGCCACATCAGAAGGATCAGAAGAACAAACAACAGAAAGATCAGAAGAACAAACATCAGAAGACCAAAGAAGGTGCAAATAAATTAGTAAATGGTAAAGAAGCAAAACAGGATCAGCAGCATAAACAACAAAAGAAAAACAAAGGAGAGCAACAATCAAATGAACAGAACACTCAAAGTGAACAAAAAAAAAGGATAGTAGAAGGCGGAGTGCAAATAGAGGAATTAAAAGTAGGTAATGGAACACCTGCAAAGACTGGAAAATTTGTATCTGTATATTATGTAGGCCGGTTGAAAAATGGAAAAAAGTTTGATTCGACAAGACAAGGGGAAGGTTTTAAATTTAGATTAGGAAAGGGTGAAGTAATTAAAGGATGGGACATTGGTATCGCAGGAATGAAAGTTGGAGGAAAACGACTCATCACGATACCACCAGCTATGGCGTATGTATCTTCTCTTAATTTAGAAATTACATGTCTGCATAGCTTGCAAAAATTTATTTATATACTGTGAATATTTAATTTCAAATGAATAACATATGTTACAGGTATGGTGCAAAGGGTTCACCACCAGTTATTCCCGGCAACAGTACACTTGTATTTGAAGTTGAACTTAGAAATGTTCATTGAAAATAAAGGATAATTCACCGACCAGAGTATTTGTTACGTGATCGATCGATAATGTATTTTGAAAAATTGAATGCGATCCCTTTTCTATTTTCCATTAAAGCTTCAACTTTCTTAGAAATATGACACTGATAATATATTTTACACTATGTAGTATCATTTAAATATTCTTATAGTTTGAATGTGATGTATGAATGTAAGTAAACATAGTGTACTACATTTTTAATTAAGAGTAAGCATATAATTTCTGAAGACATTTACCAAGTGTTGAACTAATAAATATCGTTTACAAATAAAATTACACATTGAAATAAGGAAATCCTTTTTTTAATCATGCAATAATCATAATGAATACAGCAAACACCAAAAGTGACAGTAATTTAATAAAATTATGTTTGTATTGAATATAATAATTTTATATTTAGTTTAATAGAAGGGACAAATATATTTTAAATTTTCAATCATGTTCTAGGTATATAAAACTAAAAATATTACATAGAAACATGTGTTTCAATTATGTGTGTTTATTCAGGGTGTAGGCAAATAACATGTACAAGCGGGCACGAGGTGATTTGCCGTGAAGAAATAAGAAAAAAATATACCTAAATAGAATAAAATTTTTTCATCACACATTCAGAACAAAAAATTTCATTCTATATTTTCTTATTTTTTCACCAAGAATCACCTCAGGCTTGTGTGTACATGTCATTTGGCCAAATCCTTTATAGAACTTTCATCATTTATTAATGATAATTTATGTTGTACATTAATTGACCTGTATCAAGAAGAATTAATTTACATAAACTATGGAAACATACATTTTAATAACAAAGAACACTACCTCTGTTGTACATGCAATGCAGTTTTCACACAGTTAATTTATACAAATTTGTATCAGATGCAATTAATACTATAATAGATATAATTGTAAATGATATTACATAAGTCAGATGTATACATGTACTTAATATAATTAATGCTTGTTTGATTCAATTTTAGATATCCTTAATCTGTTTTTTTTTCATCTTCATTTTTCTTCCAAGATAATGTACACACACCGTTTGTGCATTCTTTCACTAATTGCTGTGGTTGTTCTGTAGTCGACATGTCTTTCCCTTTATTTCTGAACTGCCACCACTTTACTAATATCGGTTGTATCAGGAACCTCCATATAACAAGTAATATGGGAATAGCTACACATGGCAGACATACCATTTTAAGATGATACACTGAAAACCATAAAGAGACATATATTATGAACTTTTAGATTACCATTAAGTCTAAAAAACTATGCATTTAATTCATTTATTGAGTATATGACAATTTGAAACTTAGTATAATAAAAATTCTAATGAGATTTTCATGTTATTAGGAATCTAATAGGCTCATTAATATAACAAATCTCTGATTCCAATGTCTGTCAATTAGTTTACATTTTACATAAATATCTGTGGATGAATAACGAATGTGTCATTCACTGACGATTATCTATGTCATGTCTATCATTTTTCGTTTTATTCAATATATATAAACTATTATATTATATGAGTATGGAACATCACCTCAAATCAGACGAATGTACTTCTCTTCTTATGCATTATTTAGTGAACAATGTTATGACATGTAGTGAACGACAATATAACCTGTAATGTTAATTTAGATAACGAACAACATATGTTGTCTCATTGATTTTATTTTGACTTCTTATGATAAAACGAATGATACTGTCGAAATAATGTTATTAAGAAAATTTTGCACCTAAATAGTGTGTGTTTATGATATTTTTAGTGTGTCCAGAATGTTCAACTGTGTTCAACGATGCCGATGATGCCTTTAACGGTTAAAGTTTAACCCCTTCAACCACTTCAACTACCTTCTACCTTCCACCACCTTTGACCACCTTCAACAAACTGTCATGCCACTTGCCAGTCATGCATTGTCATGGTTGCCAGGTTTACTAGATCTGTTTGACCTCTGTGAACTTAGCCGGGCAATTATGATTTTTTAACATTTCATCATACCCAATCGATTGGTGGTCGAATGGTGGTCATTGGTGGCCTAATTACAACATTTGGTGGTACTTAGTTTCTATAAAAAACGAAAAAAACGATGTAGTCATCTGGCATTTCAGGATACAGGTGTACCAACGCACGTTTAAAGTTGATAAAACAGATATTTCTGGATTGATTGTCTTTTTGGATGAATCAATCGATGTAGAAAGGTGTGCTAATGATTGGTAACCTAATTGAAACATTTGGTGGTCAGTAATTAAAGCAGAATGTATGAAAATTCGTACCTCTGCAGTACGGCAAGCATCGAAACCTGGGATTGGTTGAGAAGTGAATACGGGAATATTGATTGATTTGATGTGATAATGCTATCGCTGACGATATCTCGTCTGTGATGCCATCTAGTTGTACAATAGCGGTATTGGCTGATCTCGGACCTTCATCAGCCTTAATCATGTCTTAATTAACTATTAGGTTAGACGTGTGACAGTAGATGACGTCAGACATCTTAAAAAAATTCAATATTAATTAAAAACGGCAAAACCGGCAATTGTTGATCCACAATGTCGATTTAGCAGAATTCAGAGCAAAACTTCGTCACCTTTATTTATTCAAATGTTTAATAGTGTGATTTTCATGCAATCATTATACATGGCCTCTTATCAGGGTATTATGTTGTATATTAATATTCGTACATAAGAACATGGTCACAGCCACATATTGCTAACAGGACCCGAATCCTGCTAATTTCACTTAACGGTATAAGGTACTGAGAAATACATAAAGCAAAAGTGTCAGTCAATGATTTTTACATGAATTGTCGTCACAAGAGCTTTCGAACTTAACTATACGATTACAGGATGATTAAAAACTGGATTCTATAAAGGACAATTGTAATTAATCCCACAGAATATTTTTGATGTAAGAGTTATGAACTTTCAGGTCATTTTTCAAGGCAATACATCTTATTAACGGATTTAAGATGGTACCACCGAATTCATTGTGATGAGAGCTTTTTGTATGTGCAATGTCCCATCTAACTGTATCACCTGAAAGATTTCATTTAGCTTTAATATTTCAGTAGCATCGTTTGCATGCTGCTTTATAATTTCATTACGACGCAGTACAGTACAATGTTGGAAGGCGTTAAAGTCGACGGTCTCGATACAGCAAGGTAGTAAATTTAGCGGCGCTATAAACAGAGATTCGGGGTCTAGTAATCAATGAAAGATATCATGATAAATATGATATTAACATCTAGGCAAATGCTGTGCAAAGAATTCTTCCACTAAATTAGTTTCCCTTATACAGTACAATTTAAAAAAATTTCGAAATTTTATGACCTCACTGAGTTTAACTACTTTGATGACACATATGGTTACCGTCGACTCTAACAGTGAAATACTGAAAGTAAAGAAAATACTTCAGATCAGTCCTCCATTAAAGAGATTAAACAAATTGCTTCGTTTCTCGTTTCTTCGCTTCCATCCGTCGCGTCCATAGACAGATGACCTTGCAGAGAAAATTCACTTTGATCACTGCTTTCCGCTTGAATATTTTGCATCGTTTCTGGCCTGTAGTTTGCAGGAAGACCATAAGGCTCTCACATGCTTCCGAATGCTTTACGACCCCTCGTGACAGACAACGAGACAATGACGACACTTAAAACGAAAAAGACTAGTCCGAAGAAGGCGGTCACAGCTCTGCACCATTGTCGTTTCCGTTTCGCTTTTGCGATCGTTCGACCCAATCGTTCGGCGCGTGATACGTCCAGCGTGAAATCCAAATCACCGGCGAAACCCCGAAGACGATGGTCCCAGTCCCCCTTGCTGGAACTGACGACCATACCCTCGCTGGACGAGCCACCGTCACTGCACTCCAGCTGCTGAAACATCGGTCTTGATACGTTGGTTACATTGACATTGCGAACATCGTTAGTCACGCGATTGAAAGTTCTTATTAACTTCATATACAGGGTGTCCCATTTAAATCGATCCACTCGAATATCTCCGAAATTGTTGACGATATTAAAAAATGTTTCAGACAAAAGTTAAATGGTATTAGGGGGCATACTTCTGATCTGCGGAACTTCTTTCTATATGGACGCGTAGAGGTCATATGAAGGTCAACTTTGTTTTTTTTTTAATGAAATCCTATATTTGTTAATACACTACTTGATGCTACTCGTTATTCCCTACATAAAGTACGAAGTCACTTATAGCGAATTAGTGCATTAAAAAATAGATACGATTCCATTAAAAAAAAGTTTACATTCATATGACCTCTACGCGTCTACATAAAACAAAGTTACTCACATCAGAAAGTGCGCCTCACCTGATACCATTTAACTTTTATCTGAAACATATTTTAGTTGTATCACTTGAAAGTATTATTGATGGAGCAATATTTCACTAGAAAATGGAAATTATACAAGCCTATTCACTCACCGTTGCGTATTCCGGTTCACCGTGGACGAGTCTATTACGATTCTGTTTCTCCCCGTTCAAACCAATCGTCTCCTTCGGATCCGAGCCGATTCGACGATTCGCGTACGCGTTCTGCGCGGCCTGGCGGCTCGGGCGGTTCGAACATTTGCAGACGCGCGAATCGGAAACGTTCGTATCGTTCTGGGACGCTGGGCTGATCAGCGTTCCTGTACAGTGATCGTCCAACGGAAACACCGCAAACATGCTTTCTTTCTTTCCTGTCTCGTTCCTGGTGCCCGTTTGTTGTTCGTCACCCTTCGACGACGACGACGACGATGAGAAAAACTGGTGAGCGTGCTCGCAGGTGCACAAAGACGCGTACCAGGCCGGATTATGGACGTAAAAGTGTCTGGTGTTTGTATACAGCTTCGAGTTCACCGGATTGATCCCCGACGTAGTGGTTCGTTTGGTGCAGCTCAACAGGGACGAGCTCGTCTCGTTCAGCAACGACTTCTTGCCGGGCAGAAACGAGGAATTATGATGATAAACGTACTCGTAGATCCCCCCCTTCAGACCGATTTCTTGGGTGACCTTCCGCGAAATACTTTGGAGGATCTCCTCCGGTGTCATCGCGGTCTCCCCGTCTATCACAGAGTTCAGCGTTCGGGATAACTCGAGAAGGACATCACGGGCCGACGTACCGGCCGATTTCTCGTAGTCCCGGTCGCAATGCGAGTACGCGTACGCGCAACCGCATCCACAACACGCGTATAAAGCTGCAGGCAGAATCGTAACATTGATTCGTATATAAAGAATTGTTATCACATTATTTTTGCATGTAAAACCGATGAACCTTCGAACACTCATCGATGATTTACTATATTGCTTAATATTTCGGATAGCGATGGATACAACCAGATCGGACAAGCTTGATTGATTCAAAGGGGAGAAGAGGAACATAATTGATTCAAGAGGGCACAATTTCATACCATCGTACTCAGGATTCTCATCGGTTTGATACAGTTCACGGGGCCCAGGAAACGCAGACGGCCAGATAGGACGTGGGATCGTCTCGCTCTCGTGTATCACAGCGAGCCCTCCGCCGAACTGGTCCTTCATCGTTAGGGGTACAGTTCGAAAGAATGCCTGGCCAGGGACCGCGGACGCGTAGCAAGAGTACGAGCCAGCCGACAACGGCGGGGAATGGCTGGAATAGCCGGAGCTGGTTGAGGTCCGACAGCATCTTCTTGAATTATTCCGCGTGGTCGTTGTCGTTGTCGACGAGCCGGCTACGAACCTCGAGATCTCAGCGTCTATCGAGTCAGGCTCTATCCTGTGTAATTCATACGTTCGTTAAACAAATTGTAACAATTATTCCATAACGGATTGTTCGTAGTAAAACTACGTACATCGCGACATCTAGTTTAATGTCATGGCCGTTAAATTCACGATTTACTGTCACGTGAAAACGTACCTTGAGGAATGCAATCCAGGATGTGTTTTGGATTCTAAAAATCCCGAGATTTAATATAACTAATCCCGAGAATTTCAGGATTTAAAAAAAAATGTGTTTAATTTACTGACGCACGATTAAGTATACACAAAATGGTATTCTCAAAAATGTGTTGACTCTTATTTGGACATTTCCCGTATTGCAACGTAAACCATCTTGTCCAACCACCTTAATGAAAGTATTACAGTTTATTTATTTAGTTTGTTAAGTCGTGAGCACGAGAAGAAACAGTCCAAGATTCTAGTCTTCGGACGACCCCACGGTTCTCTCGATCAAGTTACTACGGAACTTGATCCTCTAATGATTACAGTCTCATCGCTTCGAAGCAGTAGGTATATGATTCTAGTACACTATGAAAGTAGACGGTAAAAAATATCTGGTTAATGCAAGTTCGCTCAACTGACAGTGTAATTGCGCAAACCGTATCCTGCGTTTAATTTCACGGTCCGTTGATGAGAAACGCCTTTTACCATTCCGCTTCGTGTAGATCGGTCCTCGGCACCGCGTATAGGCTGTCCGGATTGCAGGCATATCGCTCGTTCGGTAAGTGTAAGGCCAACTTCACCGTATCCACGTCAGGGGGGCTGTTCCCGGCTGAAACCGCCAAGGCCGTTGCGATCGCAGCACTGGAACAGAATTTCCCGCGTTCCAGCATCCCCTGATACGGTCCAACGGTATCACCTATGACCATATTTCACCAATTTAACAGTGTCGAAACGACCTGAGTCTAATACGCAAATACTACGAGTAGAATCACTTTTAAAGATACAGTACATCCTCGATTAGTGTTCGAAAGCTCCACGGCACTGAACATTAAATATTTCATAAACTTATGGTCATATGCGACTGAAACAAATGTAACATCGATTGGCTGTAAAATTCCAGATTCTATCGCTGCGCTAAACCTTATTAAAAAATCAGCGTTACACCTGGGGACCTCCCTTTGTTAGTGCCAAGAAACCTTTGAACACTCATCGAGGATTTACTGTAGTAATGGGACTGATACGATGGACCACGACGGTCCGATAATAATTAAATAGAAAATTGTTGAAGCTGTGGCGCATTATCATCCATTCGGTCGTGGTCATTGCTCTTTTCAGCGCGTCGTCGAGAATCGATGAGGCAAGATGTCAAGTGAAACAGCTAGACAATTAGCGAGTTACCTCGAAACGTTTAACGATGAATTTCTAACGCCTTTTACGAGCGTGCCTGTACAAGGCGCAATTGTACAGTTCATAGGAATTATAAAGATTTAGTTGTGGATCGATCGGTAATCTGAGAAAGGTCTAGAAAAAGAACAGTGATTGCGGTCGTACCCCGATGGTTCGTGGTTGATGACGATGCTACCGCATGGGTCAGACGCAGGTTCGTCCAGGGCCAATAACCACCGCTGCATGCTCTATCAGAGTGCTCGACAAGCGGATTAAATGCCGCGTACTGTCATTCACGTATCTTTTGATTCTCACCGACATCTAATCATCTTTCTTTGCCCGTCTACGTTACGATGGGGTTGCAGCTGCTGTAAATGAAGTCAACAAGATAATCTTTTATGGATCGGTTAACGTTACGGTAAAATGCGTAAAGAAAAAGGTAGATAAATTACTTCCGGTGATTGCAATGCAGAGGTAAGAGTGGCACCCAGTAAATCATTGGTTGTTCACGGCTGCTTTGGTTATGGCATTCGCAGCAGAGATCTATTTTAGACGGATATACTCTTACCACTGCGTTGAAATCTCCCGAAAAAGAGTCTGGGTTAATTACGTACAACCTTTTCTCAAGCATGCATATCAATCATTTTGTTCTGTATAAATATCATGTCGTACAGTGGCTGCCAAATGTTTCCGGCCAAACTATGTAATTTCACCATATCTTTGTCGTAACATCTGTCAGGCCCACATCTGTTAGAAACGGGTGAATAGATTATTTTTATGCAAGAAAATTTTTAACATCATCAAATCTGAAGAAGCAATGTATCCCCGACATGGGTATATCAAGAGTTTATTCGTATTATATATTTTCAAAAAGGTATATTGAAATAACAGTTTGGACGGAAACTTTGGCAGCCACTGTATTTCTTATGGTAAATATCGGAAAATGACAAAATCTGGTTCTAAACTTGTAGAATTTTGCTTTAAACGAGTATCGAGGACAGTGAATCAAACACGGATCTTCAAAATGGCCGATCATGGAGGACGTCAAGTGTAATTATCGGAAACGGAAGAATCGCGTAGCGAATCACTGTTCCCATTTAGTTCGCGTAATTGTATTCGTGGTTGGACATCTGCATGCGGGTATTTTTAGATTTCTGATCGACGATCGGAATCTCGATTCCTCGAAACACGCTCGTACCGGTCCCTGTGCGCCCCTCCTGGCACCTTTGTCACGGACTTGCCGGTGTCGTAACTGCGAGGATCCGTACAGTAGGTATCACGGGCAATCGATTGAGATTACTGTATTCTCGCCTTGTCGCCTGCTCCACCTTCCATATTCAAGACTAACGTATCGGTGGCGTAATCGAGTCATCGAGACAATGGTCGCTCTGAACCCCCGGAGGAACCGTCGTGCATATGGAATCGATGAGAGTCCGTCGCATGTTTATCATTAGACCACCGGTTAATTCGATTGATTTCTCAACATTTTATGGCATATAGCTTCCTCTTGCACTGTACCCTTTCGTTGTTTGTACACTTAGCGTTTAAGAACCGATGAAACTGAAAGTGAAACGAAGAAATTAAACGAGACCAAAAGAAAGCTCACCGATATAACGAATGAATTTTCAACTAATTCAGAAGATATTACAAGAGACTATGATAAGCGGCGTTGACTAAACACATGGATAAAAAATGATTCTCCAAATCATAAGGTACTGGATATACCGATTCATTATCGCCCGGCGCGGATTTCACAACGAATTTATTAACCGTCCGGTTTCGTCACTCTAATGGTCCGCGCGCGTCCACCTTTCGTTTTCACCGGGTCCCTGTGCTCCATGGATTTGTAATTCTAATTCTCGTCGAGTCCCGACCTCCTCATCGTCAGCCAGTATACATATAACCGTCGTCGTGGTCACGGATTTTTCATCGAATTCCCATCAGGATGATCGTGGCTGATTTATTGGGCAGGGGAAATGTTTTGCCACACAGATATTTATCGGCCATGCCGTTTAGTATTGATGCGGTGGATGATCCATGTTTCAAGGTCGCTTTCACATTCGTCATGTTCACGTAAGAAATTGGACAACATGAAACGAGTATTACGTTATCCAGGACATTCCTCGCGGACCGAGAGAGGAATGTAGGGTAATGTTATATTTCTGTAATAAAACGCCCGTTAAAACGAAGCAATCGATGTTATCTGCACCCGCGGAACGGTGGCTAAGCGTGGCTGTAAAATGTACGGGGATGGAGATTTCGGATGATTATCACGCGAATCGGTAACAATTCCACGGATATTCCAAGATTATGAGTCTACATGCGCTGCACTTGGCCATATTTACGCGGTCGTGAAATTGCTTGTGATTCGGATACACAATTTAACACTAAAACTACCGAAAATAAACGTATACTACCGACGAAAAGTACTATATGGGACAAGAGTTCATGATTGATGGAACAGTTTTAGCAAACTACTTTTATCAAATCTTCGAGGAACAATATTTTTCTCTTTCTTTATTTATCAGGCCTGGTCCCATACTTTTGGTCGATAGTTATATCTATTTCAATCGGATCGATAAACATAGAGTAGTCTAAAGAGTAGTAAACTCTAATAGAATAGTCTAAATATTGCAGAAGATCTCGTTGCAATAGTTGAACAGAAAATGTTGAAAGAACAAGCGACACAGATATTCTATATCGCCATGTACATACACATGTTCACGCTGTATCTTGTCGACCTAGCGAGAAAATCCAAGTGATCGCGACCAACTTCCAAATCAGCCGCAGAAAGAAAGTTTCGTCGATGTGTCAAGAAGTGTATGATAGATCAGGTAACAGTGACACTATATTTCTGTCAACATCCATGCATACAATCGGGCCAATGGAATCGATCGACGAGCCAACGTATCGCGACTCTAAAAATGTCTCCACACTGTGGACTCTTTCGGGCACGGTGATACAATTTTGCTACCACTTCTATTTTTACAATTGTGTGTGAAATATTAATCGCTTAATAAAACTCAATGCAAAATCGTATGACGGTAACACATGTACCAAAAACGATGATGAAAATGTTCCACGGCCTCCTGTACCTGAAAGAGTTCACTTAAGGGAGAAAGAGACCAGAGAGAGGCACGGGGCGCAGAGTCGTCGAGGTCCAGCGTGTCCGATCGTTTCCACGACACACGATGTGCCAGAAGTAGCCTGTTTACTCGGCGAGTCACACAGGTAAGCGTGGTACTCCAATTACCTAGTACCATGGATCAGCGGTGCACGTCGCCGCGCCGTAGCACCCAGCACTCCGCATTCCGTCGCTTCGCAGCCGGGGCCCCACTTTCACGTCGCGCACACAGCAGCCCCGCTCGCTCCTGCGCCGCGCGATCTTCACGGTATTACACACGGTGCACCCTGGAATGTCGATTGACGTTACAAAAGTCCTGTGCTTGGAGAAGAATGCACGATTTCGAGCGTGAAGCTCGATATTACACGTGGATATACCTGTAGCGTGTATCAGTTTCCGGACGGATAGATTTTTCACTTTATTTTCTAGAAGCGATACGTGAAAGAAGTTCAACTAATATTAGGTATAAAAGTACCTAAGTTTTTATTTGTGGTACGGTTTCTCTTTTACTTGCCATGCCGATATATCCAATATTAGTTAATAGTGTTTAGAAAATAATGTGAAAACTCTACTAAACTTTTGCACACTACTGTACGGTCTCGTGTAGAGAGAACAACGTTGCATAACGAGCAGGGTGTTTTTCTTTCTTCCATTCCGCGGCGACGACGTTGGAAGATAATTTGAGGAATCGACCCCGGCTCGTGAGAAGGAACAAACTCACGGAATCAATTAAAGAGTTTCGTGTAATACGTTACGAGTCGCGCACACGTAACCGTTGTCGCGTCTACTTTTCGCCATAAAATCCTTAGTACGATCTAATTAATACTGTTCTTCCTAGTTTCTTTACACTATAATTTAATTACGATTTTTAATCATCGCTAATAATTGACGCACAACTACCTTAACGCCTATAGACGTTCAATGTTTTGCCGGAACGATTTAAGATCGCCTCTTCTCTCGCTTTCTCTGCTAATTTATGTCTTCGACCCGTTCCTCGACTTTGTTTTCTTTTCCAATCCCAGTCGGTCCTTTCGAAACGGTTTCACAATAAGAAATTTACCCGCGCAATTCGTAGGTGAACGACGCCATTGACGGCTCTTCGAAGTTCTCCTTTTAACGGTTAATTGTTAAGGGTTAGATTGTTGTGTGAATGGACTCGTTGAAATAGGTATTAAACAGCAACTGTAAGAAAGAAGATATTGCTTCGTTCTAAAATACTGGATAGACTGCAAAGTACGTTGTATGTTGTACTTATCGGAAAAGTGCCTAATCTGCAAGTAATATCTTTTTTCATTCGTTCTACAAGTCGTTCAAACTTCTCCTATTAAGAATACAAATATTCGTGCATCGCCTCCACGCATTCATTATCCTGTTATACACCAATTATATTCCCAAGATGATACTGGCAGAAATTGC